TGATTGCGGTGGTTAAGGAACCTTCCAGAAGTCTTTCTTTATTAGATAGGTGACCAACAATTTATTAAACGTTTTGCAGAAGACACATTAAATATTCGGTCTTAGCTGTACCTAGGTGATTTCTGAGAATCACGATTTTGAGTTGATTTTCCTGGTCATTTTGAAATCTCAAAATAACGAATATATTTTGGATCAGGGTTAAAATTATGAGCCTTAGTTATAATATTTTTTGATAGGCATCCGTTTCTGTTCAATGATTTCCAAGACATTTGATTTTGAAATTTCGTGGCCAGGAAAATCAATAATGACGCACAGGAAAATCAATAAATGAAACAAATTTCATTGAAAATCACTGTTTAAATTCAACAATCAAAGTCAGAAATTATTAATTTGTTCTTTACCTAAACTTTCTCAACAAATATTTCCAAGAGGATTTCTTTTTTATGGGCTGCTTTGTAGTAGGGGTAGTGATTAGCCGAATTGAGTGGCCTTCGAGAAGTGGACAGATTTAACGACTCAGATGTGGTTTGAGAAATAGAAGAAGCTGATTATTGGTAGGTGAAGGTGGTGGAGACGAACAAACAATGCCTTGTTGATCTGTGTTGTATGTAGTTTCCCAAGAGTTTGTTTCTGCTTGAGATACCAAATTTTGTTAATGATCGATTTGATCGTATTGTTATATTATTATATATTGTTAGTATATAATAATATTGTTTCCAGGAGACTTCTTTCTGGTGACAGCGGGAGAAACTGATGAACTAGCAGCTGAAAAGTTGTCACCACTTACAGAAGTAGAAAATCTTATCGTCACTTATTGGATTCTTACACAATACATGTTGGTCTTCCCCTTCTAAGCTTACTCTAATGAAATCATTGTTTTCTTACAGCTGTCTCGTCTTTTTCTTTCAATTATTCTTTTCGAACTTCGACGATTCTTCTTTCTCCATTTTTTTTGTTGATGGTATTATTTTTCGGATCTTTTCTGTTTCATACATTTTTCCTTTAGCTTAGCTTTACACTGAGCATCATTTTTTATTCGTTTGTATCGACGACTTTCTGCTTCTCTCTTTTTTAAAATCTTCTCTTTACTTTGCTTGCTTCGGGACATTGTGATATAAAAAATATGAATTCAAGTAATAAATATATCTATTTTGAAGTAATTATTTGTTGTTGCCTTCCATGACAGAGCCGAGGTGGCTTTTATTTGACTTAGTACTCATCTCATATTTACTGATGTAACGTGGAATATGTAAATGTAATGAAAATAGAACAAACAATACTCATATTCAGTATTTTAAAATCAAAACTAAAACACCAAATTCAATATTATAATCATAAATATATATTTTAGGTAGGATTTGACATTGTTTATACTTTAAAAATCAAATATATGACTAACATAGGCTTTAGACTGCTTGAAAAGTAGGATTTCCTAGGAAATTTTGATTTTCCTCTATCTAGGATCTAGGAAATGAACTACAGGTAAATAATAAAAATGAACATAATCGTCAATAGCTGTTCAAAGATAGTGGATAGCTAAACCTATTTTACACAATAGTATGTCAATAGAGAAAGCATATTCTTAAAGTAAATTGAGATATAACAACAAACAGGATCTTTACAAACAAAACCAGGAAAATCAATAGTAAACCAAAACCAATAGCAGGAGAATCAACTTCTTACCTAAATATTTCGCAAACTTGACGATGAGCCGCACAACCTCTCCTTATAACACTTGAGATGCGGCTAACACTCCGCGTGGGGAGGTACAGCAAGTAACAGAAATCGACAGATAGTAATATACGCGCATTTTACTGATGTACCAGGAAAGTCAACGTTTGGTCTCGGACAAATTATAACTTTGAAGAATAGATGAATTTAAATATTTTACAAGATTAAAATTACTATTATTTGATTCGTCAATTCATTACCAAACGAATTTACTTTACTCGATAATGTTTCTATATTCACGAAAAAATCTGTAAGCATTTGTTACAGAAAAAAACGTGAAATGGAAAAATAAATTTTCAGTCATTTTATTAAATTAAAGAAACTATTAAATTCAGTCTTTTTCTTTATGATAAAAAGTCTTACAAAATATACGAGATATCCTTCCTGACATCCAAAATTGAGCCTCTCAGGAATCACCCACCTGCAGTTATTAGCAATCAATCCACACTTGATCCATGTATTGTGCTTTGGTCCGTGTGTGATTCTCCCTTAAGGAAGGCCTGTATACCAGTATGATGATATCGGTTGTTTGTTGTTATAAGATTGAAATTAAAATATTATAAAGAATGTGCAATAAAAAAGCTAATTAACGTAGAAGTTATCACCTACTTTTTCGGATACTATAGGTACTATGAGTAAGTCCGCACTCGGTAATTTGCATACAATACTTTTTGATGAATTGATGATTTTTATTTAATATTTTTTCTCCAGAAATTTTACATTCTAGGTATCTATGCATACTTAGAATGTAAAATTTCTCTGATTTTGAAACAGTGTTTTTTAAAGCTCAATCTTGCATGTAAAACTGTTCAGTTCTCTGCATTCGATTCTGAAGTTTTTCTACGAATTAAAACTTTTTTAATTAAATTGAATTAAAATTATTCAGTATTCGAATAACTTTTAAAAATAAAAAATAAAATCAAGCGCTTATTTAGACAATCGTACACAGTACGGTAATTTCCTCTAGGCCATTTCTAAGTCGTTCAAGTTGGAGGGTTTTGCGCTACTTCTTACCTCTCTTGAGGACTCTCAACCTATGAATAGGCAAATCGTCACCTCACGGGCGAATTCCACTAAAACGTTTGCACTTAAGATATTTTCTTAGTTTCTAACATATAATTTGCGATAGCAAGAAAAAGATAAACAGAAATGAAAATCACGCTTGTTTCATTAGTGTTGATAGTCTAATAAATTTTGTATAAAAATATGGTATGAATTTTGTTGCATAAGTAACTGTTTTAGACAGTTTCAATGTTAAAAATACATATTTTTATTGAATTATAATTTTAATGGTTGTTCCTTTCGGATTACAATACATTTAGATGCACATGACTTGCGGCCGAAACTTGTCAGCAGTACGAGGGTTACATCATCTTTTCTATTATGGCTGCACACATTAGCTAATATTGTGACAATTGGAGTTGGCCAATAAGTTTGCGAACAAATTAGTACGATATCTATTGTAGCAAACTGAAGGCATTATAACTTGTGTGATAACTTGTTGTGAGATTACGGTTCATAAACCAATCTATCTTTGTCATAATATTCACCACAATATTACATTTCAGACCCTGCTCAATCGTCCAAAGTGGAGCGTGACACACAGTTGTCATCGAATGACGGAATAGCTTGATAGGTCAGTGGTTAGTGCGTTCGGTCTGCAATACGGTTGTTAAGCAACATTAGTAAGGGTCGGTCGTAGGATGAATGACCAAAAATTATTTTCTTAACTTCCTCTGTGACTCATAAGGCACGTTAAGCTGGAGGTACAAACTGCACTACAGTCGTTTACACCCACCAATCCGCACGAGACCCACGCTGTGGGTTATGGTTCATTCTCCCTATTCGATTCGATATTTTCTCTAGGGAAGGTTTGTCCCTCAGCAATGGGATAAGAATTGGCTGGTGATCTGATCAATCTTATTGAACTGACGATATTTTAATAGTCAGTATACTTACTCCTATAGTCAACGATCGTATCTAAATTTCTTAGAAATTATTATTTTGAACTCTACGCAGAAAAAATGAGTGGCCTGCAATTTCTATCATCAAACTAAAAATATCAAGAGGAACTTTAATTTTTTTTTTTTATATATTTTAATAGACAGTCTACTTACTCCCATAGTCAACGATCGCGGCTAAATCTCTTAGAAATTATTATTTTGAACTCTACGCAGAAAAAATGAGTGGCCTTCAATTTCTATCATCTATCAAGATCAAGAGAGCTAAATATATCAAGAGTAAATTTGATTGTTTGTGTGTGTGCTGGCATCGAATAGGTTCCGAAGCTACTGGACTTTTAAAAATTCTTTCACGGGAAGCTCCATCATATGCGGGATGAAATTGTCTATAATTTAAACGAAGTTGCGAAAAGACAGCTAGTTTTTTGTAAAGTTTCTTATGTGCAAACACTATCCATAATATGGAATGTCAGCCTAATTATTATTTTAAAAATATATTAATTCTTTGTGAAATCTGCAAGCAGATGATGATTTGCTCGCAGAATAAAAACTACTTTCTACTATAACAACTTATAAAGAAATTTTAGTATTCCTTACCATGTACATTCTAATGTGTAAACATTTGAGGATAGTAACTCCTCTAGTATTATTTAGTGTCTTTAAGGATTGGGAAATTGATAAACTTTTGTGTTTATAATTACGTCAATTTGATAAATTACGTAAAGTAAAACTCATTATGTGACACTCTCTTCCCGGATTTGCAAAACAAATTGACACCTAAGGCAATGTCAACTCATCTCGACAGATCCCATAAACTTTCATTGGGGAGACAAAACAAAGATTACTGTGCGACGAGGCTAATGCTTTCATAAAAGTAATAAAAAGTTATTTAATGAAACCTGTCCATTGCTTGCTAGATTTTTGGAAGGAGAAAGAAAATGTTCTTTTTTTAAATCTCACTGGTGTTACTATGAAAGAAACAGAGCTCAGTTAAACGTAAAAACATTTTTTTCTGAACTATATAGATGTTTGCAGGAGTGAAACAAGAATTATTAAAAAACATCATTAGGCAACATTACATACATTAAAGCCCCGTATTATGAAGTAAGAGAGTAAAGTCCTTTTTCTTCATTGACTCGACCGGGAAACAAATACGGAACCTCAAAGATGGCGAAACCTTGAAAACCAGCATGCGAACCACTCGGCTACGGAGGTCGTCACTTGATCTTGAACTAATAACGGGAAAAATGTGTTTCAGTAATTAAATAAAAAACTCGAAAAATACAGGTAAATATCTATATTCAAGTTCTTAATCGTTTAGTTTGTCACTAACTATAATTATGATAGTTAAATTAGAAATCTACATGTACAAAAATTGATTTTATATACACGAATTATCATGCAACTATGCTTATTCTAATTGGTAGTTAAATACAATAATAATTATCTTTTTTTATATTAATTTCAGGAATTTACAACAACGAATGGGACATCTATGACGAATTTGATCGTTTGAGGAAGAACATTAACTTTTATGAGCATTCTTTACTTAACAGCTAATAATAAAAATTAGTAAATGTATGTTCGTACCAGGGTATAATAATAGAATTGAAGATTAATAACATTTCTTTTTCTAAGATAAATTCGTAAAAAAATTATGATGTCTCTAATGAGACGTCTTCACCGACAATTCACACGTGGAGCTCTACGAACACGATCTTCCTAAGATTTAGGTAACACTCTATATAATGAATCACATCCGAATTCAAAAAGGAATCATTTCAAAAGAACGTTCCAAAAAACTTTACATAATAAGCCAATCTCGTAAAATATCTAATTCGCAAACATTCCTCTCATCACACTTAAATATATTTTAAAATCATTCATAAATCGAATACATAATTTCCATTTTCGAATTCGTATGTTACTCTGTAGCAGCCGCTTAACTACAACCACCTATATGTAAATATCATCTACAGAGAAAATATTTTATTATTATATACAAATACGTCGACCGAACACTTGGCACAAAGAGGCGTTTGACGCACACACGTTGCCGATTGACGCTCCACGACATCCTGAGCAAATATAGGTATGCAGAAATATCTACAGAAACACTTTATAAAGCGATTTCTTTACAACAGCGCGATGTTTCATTTACAATAGTACGTTTCAGCAAATCCTTATGATTTCTTCCCTTTTGCTTCTGATGTCTACTTCGTTCATAAACATCGTACGTGACTCACAATATCTCGATAAAACGATTTTGTTATTGGGGTTCTCTCAAATGCTGAATATTTACACCTTTGTTTGCATTATTAAACACTATAGAGAATATTAATGAGGTTTTCTGCTTCTGAATAATGAAATATCACGCTTATGTAGGCTCTCTTACTATTCCCTAAATCTAATCTTGCCTTATATTAATATTGGTGAGCTCTTAATATATTATTTACATCTCACAATCAGTCGTATAGTAAAGATTTTGGCAGATAATTTATCAATTTTAAAACTATTTCAGTTGTCGGTTGTTTTTTAATTATATGTTAAATACAAAACGCAAAAAATAGGGTTGGCACTGTAGTCCTAAATAGGCCGGACTAAAAGCTGCTGTAAATATTACTGCTAACAATATAAAATACGTATATAAATTCTGTGATATACAATTTAAATTTGATTATTATAATTTAATAGAACATATTTCTCACAACCTGTTACAGATGTTGATGATCGAATATGAAATGACAGAACAGTTTCGGAATATTAATTAAAGTGGTTATAAAGATGATATTGTCAAAAGTGTGCCGAGTCTCAGAGAATTCTAGAAGTTAATGATGTGTATTCTAGAAGTTGCTATCGTATTCTGATCGCCGGCGCGAGTAGTGTGAGCGCGGGTATTCCCCTGTGTACCCGTACAGTTGTGAACCTCCCCCAGTTTGACCGTAGAGTTGCGACCCTCCGCCATATCTGATAAGAAAATCGTTTATAATACATTTCAATTTTAGAATTATATCTTATCCTGTAGAATTGATTTCTTTAACAACTATCTACTTCATATTAACGTTTATCATATTAATTTAGTTACAAATATTATATCTGTATTTTGCAATTTCGTCATTACATTGTTTTTATATATAATTCAAATAAGACTGTCATGTCGTAGCTTTGTCCTAATAGAAAATCTATTTTTCGAGATAATATTAAAATTTAGCTAAGTCTTCCAAAGATCTATTCGTACACACAACGTTTATGATAAATGTTATTGTGGTACTTTAATCGCTTCTATGAAAGCGATTAAAGTACCACAATTACATTTAGCAAATATGTGATCTATGACTTGGTGGTATACTTTATAGCATAACATACTCGTAATATACCAGGTCTTAGAAGTTTTTAATAGTTTTAATTCCTCAATTTTTTATTACTTTATCAATGACTCTAATTCAAAATCATCGCAACGAGAAAACGAGGCTAAATATGTGGAATACGTGATAATGTATCAATTTCATTCTTAACCTAAAATAGTAAGAATTACTAAAAAAAAGAAGATCTGCATTTTACATACCCGTATCCATTTCCAACAGGCCCGTATGTCTGCGACCCTCGACCGGAGTCTGGTGTATAGTGTTGCATGTACTTCTGCAACTGCGGTGTCCATTCTGATCTCCAGGAGTCTCCTGGATTCGGGTATGCTAGCTGCTCAATGAAAGCCGTCGATAATCTCTGTGTGAACAAAATAATACGTGATTAGCATTATAATATAAAAGGTTAGTTAATAGTTTTCAACAATTAGGTTTACGGAGAAGTCACTGTAACCAAATAACTTATATACGTAACTCATTTTATATTATTTTTATATTATATTTAAGTATTTTGTTAAGTTACCCGTTACAACAGTTGACAAACATTCTCTTTCTTATCTCTCTATAAGTCCGAAAACAAAAAGCCTCTTAGCAAATTTTGCTGAGTTTTTTTCGAAGGTTTTACTATCGTATGACTTATTAGACGTATAATGAAATACCTTTCCAGATGGAAGATAGGGTAGATCTCTATCTTTAAGCTGATGCATATCATCAAATCCTCCCATATGACTCTTGTCTAGCTCTCGGAGCATATCTTCACTAAGTGGTATAGGCTGTTTAGCTTTTGCACTCTTTTGTCGATTCACCAGCTAAAAATATAAAACCTCATAATATGACATTTAAGCCCGAATATTTTGTATATGAAATAAACAATTAATAAGTGTATTTTTTTTCTTACCACGGTGACGCCGAATATCACAACGAATAAGAGCGAAGCTAGTGCTATAACAATAACAGCGATGCCCCATTGTGGCAAGAATGATTCTTCATCAGGTTCAATTTCTGGAGTTGGTTCTTCACGTTTGGGTAAAACTAAAAAAAGTATATAAATTTCGGTATGTTAGTTTGAAACTTGAAATATAACTTAAGAATTTTGGGCCAATTCCTATTTGAATGAATATATTGAATTTGAAAATAATTGAAGATTAAATGCAACATTAATTTCTGAAATTGATATCATCTAAAATTATATTGTGCTTATGAATAAATCATTATGGTTACCTATAAATTCAGTATATGCCGGATCCATAATAAATTTTCCTATTTCCAATTTACCGGCAGATTTGTCTATTGTTTTAGTCATCTTCTCGTCACTTTTTCTCATTCTATCTTCATCTGGTTGATCACCCATCATTTGGTCTGGATCAAATTCATCAGTGGATTCTGGTTTGGTTTCTTCAACAACGGAACCTGGTTTTGCATCATGAAGTGACCGGTGGAACATTTTCTTCAAATCTATTGTATCAACTCTCTCTTGGACATCATTTAGTTCAATGAAATAGTCAACTAAGATTGACCCAGGACTAAATCCATCTATTCGAATATTTTTATACCACTTTTTTAAATTGCTGGCTTTTGAATATACAGAATTAAGCTGAAAATACAAATATGACATAGGTATATATGTATAATATGACATAGGTGTACGTACATATAGCAACGAGATTAAATATTATCACGAGTTTTTATTTAGTCATAATAGCGTATAGTACATAACTATTATTGAATGCGCAACTAGCGATCAAACTGACACTGAATTATTAAATATGTTACGAAAACTATTTGTATATATCATGGGTAAAACGAACAAAATAAAGTAAAAAACGGATAAGTATTAGTTATGAATTACAATAACAATACACATAATATTTTTGTAAGATTGATACTCAGGGTATTTATTTGAATTCCTTCTGTTACATATAATTATACAATTTCAGTAATTAAATATTTAATAATTAATGTAATTTAAAAATGTTATGATTTTTAGTATGCCAATATTACCTCATCTTTCACTTCATTGGCTAGCCTTTGCCATTCTTGTGTGTTTCGGTCTAATAATTCTGGAACCCATTTTGCTCCTGAAAATATTTGTTTTTATTTGTAGAATGTTTTTTATTTTTAAAAAATATTATTCAAATGACAGACAAAATTTTACTCACCAGCAACAATCTTTATAGTTGCAGCAATATCACATTCTTTTCTGCAAACGCCTGGAGTGGTCGGTGGTGGTGGTGCTGGTGTCGTGGTCGTAGTCGTTGTATGTCGTCGAGTCGTTAATTCTGTGCTCAAGTCTGGCATTGGACTTGTTGCCGTGGCATTTCTTTGTGCCTCCAATAACTTATCTATTGAAAATGGTGTAGTAGACGGAGATGGCCAACCAGTAAACTCAGTTGATGCTCTGTGAATAAAGATAGTATCAAAAATTAATGGATATTCATTAAAAAAAAACGTATACTTTTATTCTATTATTAGTCCATATTTACCTTGTGGGCCAACCCTTTTGAATCTTAGGAGTTACCGGTGCTGGACCTATACTTGTGTTGGGTCTGGCAGTAGTTTTTCTACCACCTGGTCTTGAGGGAAATACAAGTTTAATTCCTCCTGGTGCTTTTGTGGTGCTTGTGCTAGTGCTTGCACTACTTTCTTCTTCACTTTTATTAAGTTTGAAACCAGGTGGCAGTAGACTTGATAAGTCAGCAATTTTAACGTTTGTTAATATTGGACCCTCATTAGTTTCTTTTTCAGTGGAATTAATTTTAAATCCTGGAGGCAAAAATGCTGATATGTCACTAACAGGTACAACTTTGGGAACTAATTTCGAGTTTTCAGTCGTAGATGCATTTTCATTATAACCTTTTGGTAAAAATGATGAAATATCGACATGTTGCACTTTTTCTAAAATTGATTTAGTTGTGTCTTTGTGTTCAGGAGCTTCAGAAGACGTTGTTTTGAATCCTGCTGGTAACAATTTGCTTATATCATCTCTCTGAAACTTTTTCACGAGATCTTCTTGTTGTTTATGTTGTTTAGGTTTGTATTCTTTAGGAAGCAAAGACTTGTCATCTAATATGATGACTCTGTTTTTAGTATTTATACCGGACGATCGGCCTTGTGTTTCATTTATACTTGTTTCATCAAATAATAGCACTGGTTTTCTGGTAGTAGTAGTTGTAGTAGTTGTTGTTGTTGTTGTAGTGGTACTTGTGCGCTTATCTTTAAATGACAATCTTGGTTTGTATCCAGGTGGTAAAAATCCTGATAAATCATCCATTACAGTTACTAATTTTTTCTTTGGTTTTGGTGTAGTTGTTGATGTTGAGGGTCGTGGTGTAAATTTCTTTATCATCACTGGCAGAGGATCAGGGGAAGATCTTTCAGTAATATTAGGCAGTTGCGTGCTTTTTAATGTAAATACATTTAATGAAGAAGGAGTTGTAGTGGTTGTTGTAGAAGGGGTCAACTCCGTAGTAGATTCAGTAGTAGATTCTGTTATAAGTTCGATGTTTTTGTTGACGTTATTTAAAGAACCAGATAGTACATCACTTGACAACTCAGACTGTATACTGTCTAATTTATCATTTATATTTTCCGTTGAAGATAAACTCTTCGAGATGTTTTTGGTATCATCAAATTTAGGGTTTTTGGTAACAGGTTCATGTTCTTCTTCATCTTCTTCATCGTCTTGTTCATCTGACAAAATTTGTTTCTTTTCTTCCTGCCCTACTGCTGGGAATGGTAAAAAGCGAGCACCAGAAACACTTCTGCTTGTTTGAACTGATGCTACTACTATCCAATTTTCGGTAGTTACTGATGTTGATGACTCTTTAGTTGATTTCTCTTCTGTGGGTTGTGATAAGTCAACTTTAACATTGACTTTTGCGGTAGTTGGAGCAAAAGTAACATCAGGAATAGATATTGTTCCATTCACGACGCTTTTTGTAGTAACAACAGAGACAACTTCTTGACCAAGAATTGAAGGTATTTCAATTGAACTGATTTCTTCATTAAAAAGGGATGATTCGGTGTTTGATATAGTTGTTATATTTTCCGTTTGATCGATCATTGTAGTATCCACGAAATGTTTGAAATTATCATCTTGGACCATAGTTTTCTCAGGTTTCATAACCAAAACATCAAACTTTTCTGTTGAATTAGTTTTTGATTCATCCGTAGTATTTTCAACTTCTTCAGAAGAATCATATTCATCGTAAATATCTGTAGCATGTTCCGTAGAATGAGGTATTTCAGTAGTGTGTTTTAGTTCTGGACTTTCAGTGTCATCGTAGTATTCATATTCTTCATCTTCAATTTCATCGCTACTCATATCATCATGAGAATGCTCTTCTTCTGTAGTTTTTTCTGTGGTTGTCACTTTAGTAGTAGATGATACAGTTGTACTAGATCCTTCATTAGTGAAAGTTTTTTGTTTGGAAATATTATTCATATTCATAGAACTAGCATCAGGCTTACTATCATCAGATTGATCTGAGTCTATGTCACTATGATTTGATTTTATGACTTCAACGTCAAAGGAACCCTGTGTATTTTTCATTAATTCTCTAAATGAACTTATATCACTTATATCATCTTCAAGTAATGGTTCTATATCAAGAAGAGCTTTGTATTCAGTTGAAGAACTACGGTAGATACTAGCGTCAGTATCAGAGGGTTTATTGTTACTAAATCCAACTTTATTAGGAGTGCTTTGGTAATTCGTTTTATCATTTAAAGAAGCTGTATCAAGAGAAGAGAACCGTGAGTTATTCGGTCTGTTACTCAGTCTTTGTTTACTAACTAATTTACTAGGATTATATGTAGTAACCCTGTGATGATCAAAGAGATCTTGATTATCATGATCTATATCCTCATCATGAGATATATGACCACTTTGTCCGTTAATTTTTAAACTGTTACCATCAAATGGTATATTCTTAAATTTACTATTTCGGAGGTAGTCGATGTCGGGATTGTTGATGGTTATCTGACCTAAGAACGTTTCTGGTTTAGATGGATCATTTTGGTATGCAACAGAATGTATTTGCTGTGGGACATCAGGCCTTTTGGTTGAAGCTGGATGCACCAACTGGTAATTGAACGGTAAAGCTGGCCTGAATCTTTGTCGTTGGGGTGTTCCTATTTCAGGTTGATTTATGTAATATTGCGTGCCGGACTGACTTCTGCCGGTGGGCAACTGAAAAGGTGAAGGATTTTGGTTGTAGTTAGGGCTCGGAAAGCGGATATGCCCTTCATTATATAAAGGCTGTTGTGCAGCTGACGAAACCCTAAAGTTGTCTCCGTGATCGAAGAAAGTCGAGGGTCGACTATTTGGAAACAAAGGCGGTTGTACTTGAGCAAAACTTCGTTCTACCGGCGTGTAGTAAAAGTCGTTTTCATCTGGAAAGAAAGAGAAAAATATAATTAATTATTTAATCTTGTAATTAAATTTGATTTTATAAAAATTGAGTTTATATAGATAAAATCAATTTGATTTTATAGAAATTGAGTTTATTTATTACATGTTATTTGTATACTCTGATGACATAATCAAGCAGGATATTATTTATTATCGTTTTGACTTTAATTACGAAAAAAATAATTTTTGTTTGTTGATGAAAATTTTCAGATTATTATGTGTGTGTATAAATCTATAGTTACCTATTCGTTAAAAAATACCGTCGGTAATGAAACGCAAAAACAATGTTAGGAATGTTATAAGATTTTCCGTTGAATGCTGATAAAGGTTAAGGACCTGTGACTGCATACAAAAGCTGTGTTTATACGATGATGCAACTTTATTTTTTACCCGAAGATTTCCAAAGGAACAACAGAATAATATTTAAAATGTACTTAGTACATATTACTGATTGATGAAATGGGTTTCAAGTGTGTCGTAAATGAAAAAGAAAGCCTTGTTATCGATTAAACAGAAAGTAAAATTATTCTGATATTTCACATAAGTACCTCTATAATAACAATATAATAAGCATATAATAAAGATAAGGCTGGATCACAAGTATATTATTTATATAGCATACCTGTCCTCCTATATTTTATTGCTATTGTTATAAAGATAACTATCGATAAATACTATTATTCTCAAACACAATAAGGTGATGTTTTTGAATATACTTTAGTAGAGAAGTTACTAAGGTAAGATATTATGTTAGCTTAAATTTATGTTATTAATGTTAGAAGTTACCCGCATCGCACCCGAATAAATGGAAATTCATTTATGTCCCCGTCCTGTCGCAATAAATTTATTCAGTACCTGTGTCATATTTTACTTGCCCAAGTTGAAAACGAGCCTGTTACTTCAATAAACTAATATTACAAGTATCGCCTAACAAAAAAAGCATTTAAAATAATATTCTAACCGATTTGACATATTTCGCTGAATTTTCTTTAATTTTATTCGTTATTCATATTTTTATTAATATCTTATTACATCGATTACCGATTTATTCCTTCTATTATTATCAACAATAATGCGCACCCCACATCTTAATGTATCTGGTATTTCAAAAACATCAAACAGAAATAATATTTATCCGATATAATATTGTAAATTATAATAAATTTTAAATTATTTTTAGGCAAGCCTGACAAAATTAAATGGAAGACATTTCAGCACTTAATCAATAGATCGAATGAGGCTTACAAAAAATACCAAACACGTAATAGGGATGATGACTAATTTTTATTATCTATCCGACAGGTAGATTTTTTTTTTGCTTAATCGATTATGTTGGTGATTTGGGTAGTGGCAAACTTTTTGGTATTTTTATTTCTAAATTCTGAGTTTTGAATTAATGTCATAGAACTGAAAACAAATGTTAAACAGTACAGTGAAAATCAAAATATACGGCAGTGACGGCGAGATCTTGAGGTTTTCTTAAAAATATCTAATAGCATGGCCTTGACCTTTTTAGATACATAATGGCGATATATTGAGTTGAAATGCCTGGCATGATGTCACGCCTTCGTACATTTTTCTATGTAGTTTTGACGTAGTGAGCCCCCTCTCTTCAAAGTTAATGCCTATTATTTAAGTTATTCCTTATTAAATTAAAGGAAAAAATACGTATCTAATATTTTTCTATTATCTGACCGACGACAGACTAGATAGAATACTAAATAGAGACTAAAGTTACTACTTATTAATTTAGCTGGCGACATTACTAGAAATATTATCAGGTATACTTACCCCTACACGGGTAAGACTATATTTCTCAGGTGCTATGAATTACGTTCAACGTCAAGTTACTTTATTGGAAGCGAACAAAACCGCAATTACTGCAACAAAAGGATCTGTAAATGGATACCATTAATGGCGTATTTACCATATTTAATCTTTGATATTTCTCTCCACTAAAAATGAAAATTAAGGTTCTCCTCCACTGCCCCAGCACGTACGCACCGGACTACACGCGACGTATTGCAAGGAATTATCAAGTCGCATTTTCGTAACTGCTTATAAAAATGCGACTGACAGTTATGACGTCGAAATTATGCTGATTATGTCATAGGAATTTTTAAAATAATCCGTTACGTGTCGTGCAGCCGGTGCGTGCGTGCTGACATATGGAAGTTCACCTTTAAGCGACCTGCCTTTATAAGATAAACTAATCGTATTTATTTCCAAATATCAATTCAATCAGTATTATGAAAAATTTCATCTTAATTCGTTCCTTGTTCAGCCCTGCAATATACGGATATCAAATAAGATCGTTTTATTAGCAACCCTGCTACGCGAGCACCATACGTTGCATAAATGTAATCTAAAGAGTCGAATAACAAGACCGAGCTAATATCAGATCCCGTGTTCAAGTCACCCATACGTATGCCGGCGTTCATTCGGCCACAATTCATCTCGGTACGAATAAAATTATGTTTACCTCAAAACATATTCGGAGGGTGCAAAGACAACGCACGAATAATCTTCTTTTATGGCCCACCCAGCTTATTATTACGTCCTGGTTTCGGGGCCCACGTCGTTCGCTAGATAATCTCGAGGAAATTACTTTCTTGCGGATCATATCCCTAATTAAGAACGTCGTACTCATCAGATCTCGAGTGGAAGCAACTCTGAACATAATAGGTTTTCGATAGATCGGCTCCCTCATCAGTGGAGCGACGGAAAATTCTTTTTGAAATTTTCCGACACTTAATAAATATTTAGTTAGTATCAAGCTAATAATGTTCTTCGGTAGTATAATTTAGGAATAGGATATATTTTTATAAGTGTACGAATAATGGTAAAGAGAAAATGAAACAAAATCACGAGGTTTTATTGATGTATGTTGCTGTCCACATCACATTATGTTATACAAATCAGTCCAATTTCTTAACTCGATTTTAAATCTTAATGTTTTGTAGGTAGAGTAATTTTATATTGTGGCAACTTGGAGTATAACCGTGTGTATATAACGTGCGAAATAGAGTACTGAACATTAACGTTTAATATAATTAATAATTATGTATGCAATATATTTAAATGATTTACCCAATAAATAAAAATAATAACGTATCTAAAGGAGTATGAATGCATTTGAATTTTATTCATATTAAAATTAATAATAATAAAAAATAAAATTATTTGTTTTATTAACCATAATCTGTTAACGCACTTACGGGTCCTAAACCCAATAATAACTATTAATCTCTTCTTTTCTAAGCGTTACAGTATGTATTTAGTATATACTTCATATGCTAAATACATAAAATTACGTTTTTCTTGTTGTGAAAATTTAGGACATTTGTGTTCTATAAAAATAAGGTGTGATGACCAGCTAGCTCTATCATAATATATCTTAATTATTATCGGTTTGTCAGTATGTACATATAAATTAGTTTTATTAATAAATGAAATTACTGAGTTTGCCTAATTTCAAGTCTTATCTTATCCCTCGTGAAAACCTCAAAGGAATTCTTTTTCGTACCTGATAATGGGAAAACTATAAAAAGCCTGGCAGGATTACATTTAGCGCGATTGACTCCAGTAATTTGATTGGTCGATTAATGGGGGGGACCAATTCTTAAATTTCACCTTTTACAACTTCTTTTATAGCGACGGCCTTAAGCTCTTTTTTCGTTTATTGCACTGATCCATCCAAGACGAAGGAATCCGTTTATTTATTGTTTTTAAAACCATTAATGGGTATTGGAATTTTGGCCTCAGGGACGTCAAAACAACTAAGCAAAAGGAAAGAATATGGATGTTTTTAACACGTTTATATATAAGGAACGTACACAGGAAGAGTTTTTAATAAATTATAAGAGTTGTAAAGTAACAAAAATACCCTACAATAACATACGGTGAAATTGCTCAAAGAGAATTGGTGATATAAGAAACATCAAAAGTATTATAATATTTTTATATCCTTGCATACCGATACCGTTATTTTATTTCTTAGAATTAGCAACACGTAAAAAAACTTAAAAGTTGAGCACAATTTGTATAGTATTGGATTGATATTTGCTAAAAATAAGTCGTATTTTTTCATAAAGTTTATACACCACTGAGTTATACATCAAAATAAATAAAATCCTCAGCTCAGCATATGCTGGCCTCTGATCAGCGCTGATCTTCTGCTGAAACCGATTCAGTGAAAACACAAAGAGTAACACAACATAACAAAAATACAACAAGGTCCGGCTGTATGGTGACTATAATTCCTTCGCCTATTCCATATATGAAAGATACATATTAGTATCTATGGCATCTATGATCCTAATTGTATAATATCGTGCAAGAAACATGTTAAGCGCTATGATCAATCTAAGGCTGGGCAATGTCGTGTGAAAGGTTATTAAAATGTTCAAAAATTATTCCAAAAGGTAAATTATTGTGAACGGTGCCAGTACTCAATTGTAAATGTTCAAATAAAACCTACGTCGTACGAAAAACATGCAAGCAGATAGATTATTTCCTGTAGATATTCTGTTGGGGAAGCAGATACAAACAGTTTGGTTCTTTATTTAAATTGGAATTCTCGTTCCATTTAAACCGCTCCGGACGGTTTTTTCCCAAAAAATAGTGTTTGGGCTGCTATTTCCGTTTACAGCTCTTTTTTTAACTGAACTTAAATCGACGATGTCAAAAGTTTGGAATCTGTTTGATCTTAAATGAGTAATTTATGTTGTTGCTGCATCATCTTAATTGTATTCTATATTCTTTTTATAGTTTTGAGAACTTAGACCACTTCATGTTTGGAGAATAAAATATAACCACATAAATATTTAAAAAAAATAGTGCTTACTTAAAATTTTTAAGCGATTCGATAGGGTTATTTGAGTAAAGTTTTAATTTTAATGTAATAATCTTCGCCCGATTTATTATTTATAGAAATTATACAACAAATTATATTCTATCTATCTATCTGTCTACGACGAAG